TGTGGAGGGGGCGTGGCGCTCAGCTGCAGGGGGGAGGGGTGGAGAAGGCTCAGGTGAGCAGTGCCAGGGGAGATGATTAGACACACCTGGAACCGGTTGGCTAATCACTCTCCCCTCTGTAAAAAGAGTAGCGTGCTGGACCTGGGGAGGACTGGTTTTGAGCAGAGCGGAAGCAGAACCCAAGCCACCAGCTTGGGACCAAGCAGGCGAACGACACCCAACCAAAGAGCCCTAGCCGGGCGTGCGTGAGTGTGTGTGCGTGTGTGCGAGAGAGTGTGTGTGCGGGCCGCACAGACGCTCGAAATAAAACCTGTTACCAACGAATCTTGGTCTCTAAAAGACTCTGTCGGGGCACCCACGGTGACACGACTGTCACAATGACTTTTCAGACTTCCTCTCAATGGTCTCTGTGAAATATGACCACTTCTTAATCTCTGGTGACTTTAATATTCATGTCTGCTGTAAATCAAAGCCACTGGTAAATGATTTCTTAAGTCTCACTGATTCTTTTAACCTTGTGCAATCTGTGACTGGCTCGACACACGAGAAGGGGCATACTCTGGATCTTGTGCTGTCTTATGGATTATCGGTATTTGTAAATTAAATCTGTGAAACAGTATGTATCTCAGATCATTTGCCGGTCTTATACACGGTCTCCATTCCATGTGCACAAGCTAAATTCTGTGCCCCCATACACCTCTCACGCACCATAAACCCTCAAACCGCCCTGAGTTTCTCCGTCATGTTCAGTGATGCCATTATTAATGGCATATTATATAACAATCACGTGCCCGACGCCGAAGAGCTTCTAATTACTTTTAATACCACATGCAAGGCCATTTTGGACTCTATTGCTCCATTCAAATCAAAGCGCAATAAAACGTCCTCTCAACCATGGTTAAATAACTCCACTCGCACGCTCAGACGGTCATGTCGACGTGCAGAAAGGAAGTGGAAAAAGGATAAGCTTCATGTCTCCTACGAAGTCTTAAAAAACTGTCTCTGTGACTATCAGAAGGCCGTCAAAGCTGCCAAACAAGAATACATATCAAACATTGTCTCCAATAACAGACATAAGCCTCAGGTTTTGTTTAATATTTTTAACTCTCTTGTAAATCCCTATGAGAACTCTCCTCTAGTGCCATAACAAATTCCATGTAATAGCTTCCTCAAATTCTTTATTGATAAAATTTCTGCCCTTAGATCAGCTCTTCCCTATCCTTCTGTCCCTGGCGCTGACCCCACTGCTCCTCCTTTACCTGCTGCCCTCGATCAGTTTGAGCCAGTATCTCTCTCCATCCTCTCAGATGTAGTCAAGCAGCTGCGGCCCACAAACTGTCCCTCTGACATCATCCCATCCCGTCTCTTTAAAGATGTATTTAGTACTGTGTGGCCTACTGTTCTTGCTGTTGTCAACTCCAGTCTTAGTTCTGGACTTGTTCCAGCTGCCCTGAAACATGCTGTTGTCCAGCCCCTTCTTAAAAAGAAAAATCTAGACCCCTCAGTCCTGTCCAATTTCAGACCAATTTCCAAACTACTATTTCTGTCAAAGGTCTTAGAAAAAGTCATTTTTAACCAACAACAGTCTTTCCTTCTCGCCCATGGCATTCATGAGAAGTTTCAATCTGGTTTCAAACCATTTCACAGCACTGAAACAGCATTATTGAGAGTCCTAAATGACCTATTTTTAATTGTCAATTCTGGAAACCTTGCTGTCCTGGTTCTCCTCGACCTGACAGCTGCTTTCGACACTGTGGATCACAGGATTTTATTATCCCGACTAGAACATAGTGTTGGAATCACAGGCTCTGCACTCCTATGGTTTAAATCCTACCTGACTGATCGCAGTTTTTCAGTTAACCTAAAGGAATTCACCTCAGACACAGCCCCTCTTACATCTGGAGTACCCCAAGGGTCCATTCTTGGCCCAATCCTATTTCTAATATATATATTTCCACTGGGCTCAATTTTCAGGAGACATAATATCGCTTTTCACTGTTATGCAGATGATGTACCGATCTTCTTGCCTTTGAAGTCTAGTTGTGGGGATTCTGCACAACCACTGCTGGAGTGCCTAAAAGATGTTAAAGCTTGGATGGAAAAGAACTTCCTCAACATAAATGAAAATAAGACTGAGATTATTATGTTTGGATGTAACCCCTCAAATTTTCCTGTTGGTTCGTTTAGCTCCTTCAGTCCCAACATTAGGCCTACCGTCAGAAACCTTGGTGTAACCCTTGACAGCGCCTTTAAATTTGACGCACAGGTCAATTCAGTTATAAAAAACTGTTTTTTCCAGTTAAGACTTTTGGCAAAGATAAAAGGCTGTCTATCTCCCACAGACCTTGAGCAAGTAACTCATGCTTTCATTACATCACGCCTATATTATTGTAATTCTCTGTATGTTGGTATTGACCAGTCACTGCTCCATTGCCTACAACTCATACAAAATTCAGCTGCCCGTCTCCTCACTGGAACACGTAAGCGTGACCATATTTCCCCTATTCTGGCCTCACTCCACTGGCTCCCAGTGCAATTCAGAATTGCTTTTAAAATTTTACTAATAGTATTTAAAGCCTTACATGGGCTCGCGCCACAATACCTGACTGACCTTCTGCACTTTTATGATCCCATAAAAACATTGAGATCAGCCAGTCAGCTGCTGCTGGTGGTCCCGCAAACAAGACTGAGGACTAAAGGCGATCGAGCCTTTAGTGTGGCCGCCCCAAAGCTCTGGAATAGCTTGCCTTTTAATATAAGATTTGCCCAGACCATAGAGGTGTTTAAGTCCTCTTTAAAAACCCATTTATTCAACATGGCTTTTAACATTTTAACCTTAGGTTGAGGTAGAGCACCTTTTTACCTTTTTATTTTTTGTTTATTTTTATTTATTTATTTGTTTATTTCTACATTAAAATCACATACATGCTTTTTATGTACAGCACTTTGGCAACTTTGGTTATTTTAAATGTGCTCTATAAATAAAGTTTGACTTGACTTGACTTGACTATATTTCCTACAGTACTTTCTGAATGACTAAAGTGATACGTTGTATAATAGTTTTGTAACCATAATATTGAGGCCAAAAACCCAAAATGCAGCCAAGATGAGGAGATGGTGCAAAAAAGTTTATTTAAAGGTGGAGAATTCAGCCACACTGTGGTCTCAGACGAGGGTCCAGGCTCCGTAGTCTCTGGATCCAAATCTTAACAGTCCACAGATGGTCTAGGGTAAGACACTGGAGAATCTCAAATCCAGAAAATCCCAAAGGCGACAGGCCAGAGCACAGTCAGAGGCAGAAAGGTTCGGCAACCAGACCAGAAAGGCAGCCATCAGAAGGGGCAAGGCTAAAGGCAGCGGTGGAAGCAGGCTGGGTCAGAACACGGACAATTACATGGAACTGGAAAATGCTTGAACACTGTGGCAAAGGCAGACGGTCTCACACTGAGCAGAAGCAGAGTGTGTTTAATAGGGTGCTGCACAAGTGAGGTCAGTGACTTGTCAGGAAGGAGAGAGAGCAGTGTCACCAAGGCAAAGTGCAGAACATTGTTAACAATATGCCAGAACCAACAGCAGCTCATATTTACTCACAGACCTGTTGGGCTGTCTGGAGGCCCACAAGGCTCCCTCCATCAAAAGCCCTAAAAAGTGGCCCCAGCCGCCTCAACCTCAGCACGCCTGCCAGGGCGACAGCCCACTGGTCACCCGCTACAGGAGGACCTGGTTCTTGAGTGGGGTGGAGAGCCTGGAGAAAGGCTGGGCCCAGGAGAACAGCTACGGGGTCTACGCCCAGATCAGCAGCTTCCTAGGCTGGCTGGATGGAGGGCCACACCCCCTCTTCATCTATAAACCTAAAAAAATTATTTTCCTTAATCTAAAGATCTAAAAAGCTGATTTACAATGATTTTAATATAAAAGACCTAAAAAGGCAGACTTTTAGTTATTGTCCTTCATGTAAAGACCTAAAAAAGCTGAGGCGGGGCTTAGGGAGGCGGGGCTGCTAAGTGGCAATTCAAGGCTTAATCTGTGTCTTAATAGTGTCCAAAAGCTGACTGTTTCCCTCATTAAAGCAGTGTCATGAACACGGCTGCCCATGTCCGGCTTTGTCCTCCAGGGGTTCAGGAAGCCATCTTTGTTAGCCTGGAGAAACCATGACTCAGCTGGAGCTGGTCTCAGACAGATGCTTCCAGAGCACTTTGAGGACCAGCAGATTCATCTCTAAGCTGCCC